GACTTGAACCACGCCTCTTGCCTCTCAGCTTAGGGTCCTTCCCTCTCTGAAATTTCAGCTGTTTTATTTCTTAACCTTCATTTGCGAATGGGTAAAGCTCTCCCTTCATCCTTCCCGCCCCGTCTCCATACTTGCGGTGTCTCTCCGCCCCCTCCATTCCGCTCAACCTGCGGGGTCCTCTCACCGATGGTTCTCATTGAGCAGGGAGAAAAGTGGGCCAAGGCGCAGCTCCGCCGCGTGCTCGCGGAGCTCGCTGAGTGGCACTGCCTGCAGCACCGACTGAAGCGCGCGCAGCTCTTCCAGGGGCGCTTCCAGCCGGGACACATCCCTCAGCAGCGCGAGAGCCTGGGCGGCCATCATGCCTTTTCCAGCAGGAGCCCGGCCGCCCTCCGGCTTCCCGGCGTGCTTCTCCGAGTCTCGCGAGATCTCAGGGACGCTGACTCTGTCCGCTGGATTTCGGCCCTGACTGCGAACCGTCCGGCCTCAGCGGTAACGGGACGGAGCTGGCGAGAACGCTTGTTCGGGGACTGCCAAGCCTCGCGAGACGTCGGTCCCTTAGGTCCTTCGTGGTTGTAGGGTCGCGGTCTGGCGTCATCTTGGGCGCCGCTCAATGGGTCACGCAAGCGTACGTTTCCGGCGGCCAGCGTATTTCCCACGGAGCGGGAAGGCTGGCCCAATGCCTGGCAAGCGGAGCAGGGAGAATGAGCACCAACCGAAGGTTAAGCGGTCTTGGGAGCGGCCTCCGGGACAGCGGCCGAGGCTGCCCCCGGCGGAGCGGAGGCGATGGGCACCCACATCCCGGGTCAGACATGTATCAAGAGGAGGCAGAGGGCCATGCCTCTGGAAGACATGATGAAAAATCTCGAGAGGCTGAAAGAAGGCGTGAATAACACCGACGTGGGGCTCTTTTAGGGCGTCAGTGAATCAACCCTGTGCACCATTAAGAAAAACAAGAAGGCTGTCATGGAGTTAACGTCCTCTCTTCTAAGGTCCTGTGCATTCCCGGGATGTAAACAGTAAACATCAAGAAGATGAAGACTGAGTTAACCTTTTGGGTCGAGGACTTGACCAGACCAT